AGAAAAACAAAATTACGGTGTTTATGAGTGAAAAGAACAGTGAAAGGAGAATTCAGATTGCTGTAAAGGAAATCCAAGGCAGAAAATACAATTTAAGTGAAGATCTTGAGGTAGAAATAAATGGTTTGCTAGGAAATGAAATATAGCCATTGTGACTGAAGCATAGTGATTCCGGGAGAGAGTGATATGAAGTAAGAAGGAGAGGGAAGCAGGGGTCAATACTGAAAGGCCTTATAGGTTTGTATTGTGTGTTAGTTGTATTGTGCCAAATAGCTTTTAAGCATCTTTTCAGCTTCAGTCTCTTTTTATACATTAATGTTGTACATTAGAATTATTTACTTGCTCAAAAAATAGCAATACCGGCTCAATAAGGGTTAGAAAAAAGAGGTCATAGATGGAAGTGTCATAGATGGAAATATCACTGAGACAGTGATTTGTTGCATGAGATTTATTGGGGAGCAACATCTTTAAGAGAAGGGAGGAGGAAGGTTGAGGGAGAAGTTGAATTGCATCAGGAGGTCTCAGCTCTGGGATCTGGATGGCCCTTTATATTGGTCCCAAACCAAGACAAAGGCTCTGGGCCTATGTACTCTGTCAATTCCCAGTCATTGATTGAATCCAGGCTGGGGGCAGGATAACAAAATCTACCTGGGGCAGGGCAACTGATTTTCTCCAGTGAGATCTAGTTATGAACAGTCAGCAGCCAGCACTCCTGGCAGTTGGAACTTTGGGTTTGGTTCTGTAGGTAGGAATGAGACATGATGAGCTCCTGCAGTCCTGGCCACTGCTTCACAAAGAGCCCCCATAGTGATGTGATATAGCACAGCAGACATGCTTGTTGTCTTTTTTTTTTTTTTTTGTGAGATGGAATCTTGCCCTGTCACCCAGGCTGGAGCGCAGTGGTGCGATCTCGGCTCACTGCAACCTCCGCCTTCCGGGTTCAAGCAATTCTCCTGCCTCAGCCTCCTGAGTAGCTGGGATTACAGGTGCCCACCACCACACCCGGATAAGTATTCATATTTTTAGTAGAGACATGATTTTGCTATGTTGGCCAGGATGATCTCGAACTCGTGACCTCAGGTGATCTGCCCGCCTTGGCCTCCCAAAGTGCTGGTATTATAGGTGTGAGCCACTGCACCCGGCCATGCTTGCTGTCTTTAGCCACACAGGTTATCTTCAGTTTTGCAAGGAGAAACCATCCCTCAGATAAGTAGGTGGAGGACAGGGAAAGGAAGAATTTATTTGCATGGTCTTTTCTGTCTCCTATTTTCCACTTATCAGGGTTTACCCCATAACCCATGCCTCTTAGGAAGCCATATTCTATGCTCTGCATTGTGGGATTTCATTCGTAAAATAAACTCTCATCAGGAGAGAGAAAGGAGGAGACAACCAAGGGAATTAGAGAAAGCATATCCAGTTGAGTAGGTAAAGCATGTAGCCTAGTACTTGGCTCATAGTAAATGTTCAATAAATAGCTAACACTTACATAGCACCTTACTGTGTACCAGCCAATATTTTGAGCACTTTACATTGATTAACTTATCTCATTCTCACAATAATTTAATGGAAAAGATACTAATACTAATATATTTACATTTTACAAATGAGGAAATTGCAGCTCAGAGGGTAAACAGCTAGTAAGGAGCATAGCAGAGCTGTTATAACCAGGTGCCATTTCAGAGTCTATGCTCTTGGCCAGGTGCAGTGGCTCAGGTCTGTAATCCCAACACTTTGGGAAGCCAAGACAGGTGGATCGCCTGAGGTCAGGAGTGGCCAACATGACGAAACACCATCTCTACGAAAAATACAAAAATTAGCTTGGCGTGGTGGCACGCTCCTGTAATCCCAGCTACTTCAGAGGTTGAGGCAGGAGAATTACTTGAACCAAGGAGGCAGAGGTTGCAGTGAGCTGAGATTGTGCCACTGCACTCCAGCCTGAGTGACAGAGCAAGACTCCGTCTCAAAAAACAAAACAAAACAAAAGCAGAGTCTATGCTCTTAATCACTCCACTATATTGTGGCTGTTACTATTGCTATCATTATTAGAATATGTAAATACTTTATTATCCCTATAAATATCATTAGCAAAATACATTCAAATATGTAAAGCTTTTCAAGAGTTTCAGTAATTTTTATCTTTATTTTAAAACTATATCAGAAAATGTTTTATAGATATGAAAACAAGGCAGAAAGTCTTGGAACTTATTCAAGTTTCTTTATATGGTAGAAGACAGAAATATAAGATAAAAGAAAATATGCATGGCTAATTCAATAAAAATATATTTGGCATATTATTTCTTGTGTCAGGAAGATGACAGCCTGGTCTGGAGTTAGAAAATCTGCAAACACAGAGGTTCTAATTCCATTTCTGCCATTAACTTATTTGTTAATCACAGTAGGTCATTTAATCTCTTTATGTGTTTCTGTATTTGCAAAATAGAGTAATTAGTAAAAGCTATACCATATCTATCAGAGGACTTTTTTCTTTCAGGATAGAAATGAGAAAATACATCTGAAATGTAAAAACAGAAAAACAATAGATTTAAATGTCTTAGAAGTACTGCATTTTAAAAACCTCCACATTAAAAATATAGGTAATTTTTATAATTTTGTAGGGAATCCTAGTTAGAATGGTTTCCATCCTTTTATCTTTAATGAGATCCTAATTTTTATTGCATCCTGCACACTGAGCAGTATCTTCACCCTGCTGATATAACAAAAATTTATATATCAAGAATAATTTATTTAGCAATTCCTACTTCATTGTTCAACAAAGAATGTTTGACAAAAATATTACTGCCTTGTTCAGTATATCCACACACTCTCAAATGTTACAAGAAATCAATTTGGAACCTAAGAGTTGATTTTTTTCAATAATTGGATGAATTTATTAAATTAACTACTTTTGTGTTTTGAGATTACAGCAGATGAGTGTTTTTAGTGTTTCTTACGTGTTTTCTTTATACACTGGAAAGTAACATTGTTTTCCATTATCTCACAGGTTTAGTTCACTGTGCCATGCCACTCTATACATACTGTTTTTATTTTACATTTCCATATTCTGAAGATGAACTGTTTTTACTACTTAAAATAACTTGCACTTTTGATTTTGTGTCCAAGTTCTATGTACATCTTTGTACCTTACCCGTTCATATATGTTTTCAATTATATTAGGCCTTTCTTCTTATATAAGACCTTTTCATATTTATTAAATTATTTATAGAGCACAAACTTCCCTATATATTTTTTTATTTTTATGATTGCTTAGAAAATTACTGTACTTACATTTAGAGTAATATAAAATTAGATACATGCATTTCTGAGTAATTATCTTTACAGTGGTAGTTCTCTGGTTAATTTTTATTTTTTTCATAATAACAATAGTAAAGATTAAAACAAATAATATATTCACTTTTAATGTAACATATGATTGTTATTTTTCCTAGCAAAAATTCTCATTTATTCATATGTAACTGCCTTGAAATTTGTACTTTAAGGACAAAGAAAGGTCACCAATCCCTCTAACTCCTGGTTCTTTGTCAAAAATGGACACAGTTAATGAGGTTTGTTTGGTACAGAACAAATTCTCAGACACAGATAGAGATCCTTTCAATGGAAACAAATTTGTTTGGCTTTACCAGGTTACTTAGCGATTAATAATAGCCTTGAGATGCAGGTCAGAGAGGTCATTGTACCAGCTTGCCAACACAATCTAAACGTGCAGCTAGCCTGGCTCTGTGGGCGCAGAAGCCCCCAAAATACTATGCATAAAGTAAAACAGGCTATTTTCTGACTCCTTTTTTCATATTAATAAGCAATTTTCAAGAGAAGGGTGGCAAAATGGGGGCCATGCCACTCCAAGTAATTCATTTATTTTGCAATTTAATCTTATGTTGAAAAAAATTGCTCTGCTGCAATAGCATAGCTTGGTGATTTTTAAACGTCAGTGTGTTTCATAAGTAACCTTGTATGAAGTATTGTATTGGTAGCCTTTAACAGAAAATTGCAACAAAAATATTTCTAGACATTGAAGTAGAAAGGAGAATCTCTTTTATTTTTTGAATTTTTTCCTCTACTTTCCTCAGATATCTTTCAGAAAAATGCTCAGATAATTTATTTAAAACTTTACTTACAGAACTAGACACTAAGTTACATACCTACTTTAAAAAAAAAGTATAGTACAATTTCAAAACATTATTTTAACACAAAGAGTTAAGTTTTCCTTGAAAATAAAGGATTTATTTTTCTCCATATTTGATATCATAATCTGTTTAGCAGGTGTTTTCACATAGTATACTTAAAAGCTTTTTTTGTTTATATTTCTTAGATACACATAAATAATGAAAAGTTTCATTATTTTAATAGAATTTATTATGCCTAGAAAAGACTTGCACTTTCTCACCTGATTTAGCTTTTATTCGAATTATCTACATAATTGGACAAAATGTCAGCCTTTGTTTGAAGTGCAAGATAATATATGTAATCTTATTGGTATTATTTGAACTGTCAACTGAAGTAAACCTACAATAAATTAAGTGTATGTATAAAACCTGTCACATTTTTAAATTTAGGCCATTAGTTAGTATGCAAAATAAATGATTAGAGATTTGAAAATACAAATCCAAAATGTAAGGGAAAACAGTAGCTCAGATGCTTTCTTGGGAGATTTAAGTATGTCCAAAAAAGTTAATCTTAAAACAAAAAACCCTGATAATTTGGTAAGACACACTTTGCATTTGATATGAGTATTTTCTCAGCTTTGAATTAATTATAATATACTCATTTGATCTCAAAAACTTAATAACCAAAATATCACATAAATGCTTTCTAAATTTTGCAAAGATTCTTGTAGAAAATGCAGGTGAGATAGACTACACCACTGATTTGGATGGATATGGATGATGGTTGCCCCTCAAAAAAAAAAACTGATTTATCATCAGTGAAAGAATTAAAATGTGAACACATAGTATCATAAATAACTACAGATGGTTTTGATGCAGGAAGGCACTGGAGGAGTTTGCAGAAATGAAAGAAAGAGAAGAGAAGAAAGCTAACCTCGAAAGGGAAGAGAAGAAAAGAGATTACCAAGCCCGAAAGATGCATTACCTCCTCAGCACAAAGCAGGTTGGTCTACCTGTCCCTGACAGCTCCTGTAAGCCACTTGGGCCCCTAGCCTGACAGAGATAAACTAGCAAGCTGAATGGGACACGACTTGTTGAAAAGATATCACAAAGACACTACTTCGAGTTCAATTTCGTGCTTCTGTGTAGGTGCGCGCAGGCACCATGACTCGTCTGTGACAGCAGCTTCATAGAGGCAGCCGCTGCGATGCTGGCAGAAAGGTCCAAGTCAGCAGTGTGATCTGCCACGGTGATAACACAACACGAAGGGCATAACCTCGCTTTCAAAACTCATTCTGAATGGCTTATTGTTGTGTTGTGAATTGATCAAGAACTAACAAGTTATTAGGCTGAAGTGGCTTTCATGTTTTCTCTTTTAATTGAGCTAATGTTGAGATTAAAACCATTTTTTGACCCTTTCTAAATTTTGATGGAAGTTTTCAGGTAAAACTTTTAACAAAATTGCTTCAGCAGTTACATCTTCTTATAGAAATATAAGCATGAAATTTGGAATACTTAGACATTTATTTTACAATGCTTGCTAAAATGTCAATACCTTGGATTTTGTCCTGGTTACTAGGAAAGAATACGTGGCATGTGGAATAGTCTCAAAAAGAAATACGGTTTTAAAAAAACATGAATTTGGGGGTTGAGATGTGTTTTGTTACTAGGGAGCTAGTCAGGAAACTAGCAATCTCTGGGTTTTTATTTTTTCTCACAGACCTTCAAGTCCTATGTTGTAGTTTTGGCCAGAGTCACATAGTCGAATGTCTCCAGGCAGGGGCAAGTCAAGTCCCAGTGGTGAAGGGTGAGCCCCAAGACTGAATGTCATCCTTAGAGGCATCCAAATTAAAAAAATATATTAAATCCTGGGCTGGCCGTGTACATTTGGAACGTAGATCTCCCTCTATCTCTAGCTTCTGCTTGGTAGTCTAAATATCAATACTTTGTAATCATGGTGACTATCTTCATGTTTACTTGGATTTGTGTAGCTGAGTTATCTTCATGTGACAGGTAAGGAAACAAACTCAGAGGTGTTACGTGCCTGAGTTAGAGATACAAAGCTAGTAGAAATAGACATGGCACTCGGCAATCTAAGGTCACTGGACTTCAAATACTTAGGCAGTAATTTAAAGATACTTTTAAAAATTAAAAGTCAAAATATTTTAACTTTTCATTAAAATCTATGGTAGTAACAGTTTTAGTTGTATAATTGAAGTGCTACCTTTTTATATAGAATTTCAAATAAAAAATTCCTTTTCGCAGAAATTTTTTAACTTTAGTTATTAGTCATTTCAACTTTCATACTTAAACTAAGCATACTATTAATACCCTTATTTCTTTAAATCTGGTATTTTATTTTTTACAATACATTTGTTAATCGTAGTAACTCTGAACATCTTTATACTCTGAATCTTTCTTAATATGAGTTCTAGTTGTGCTAAGTATACTTATGATGGGTATTGTAATACAGAAAGCATTTTTTTATATAGTGAAATCATTTTGTTTTTTTTTTAAGAGGGAGCAAAAAAGAGTCTTACCCTGTTGCCCAGGCTGCAGTACAGTGGCGTGATCTTGGCTCACTGCAACCTACGCCTCCTGGATTCAAGCAATTCTCCTGCCTCAGCCTCCAGAGTAGCTGAGATTACAGGCACCCGCCACCACACCAGGCTAATTTTTGTATTTTAATAGAGATGGGGTTTCACCATGTTGGTCAGGCTGTTCTTGATCTCCTGACCTCAAATGATCCCCTCACCTCGGTCTCCTAAAGTGCTGGGATTAAAGGTGTGAGCTACCACACCTGGCCTAAAATAGTGAAATTGTATTTAACTGAACATTTGTTAATTCTGTTTTATTCAAGGTTGTTGAGATACTGAGTATCTAGTGAAATGATTTAGAAAGTCCATGAAGACTCAGGTTTTTTTTTTAACTAATAAAAATAATCTGACAGCAAATATCTATGGAGTGCTTATCATGTGCCAAACAGTATTGTAGAGACTTTCTATGCATTATTTCTTTAATTAATTTAATTTCATTTCATTTTTTAAATTAAGCACCTGGTTTGACAAAGAATTTTCACAAACCTGACTAAAACACTTGAATCATAGACCTTAATGGATTTTCAGATATTACCATTGTGTTTTAAGTATATTTGTATTAACAAATACAAGCTGTCAATGCATTTTTCTCCTTCTTTATACCATATAAGCCGCTGATAATATCAATGTGTGTAAACTTTAGTGATCCCTAGTCTCCAAAACTCCTTGGCATCCAATAAAATAATTATTTTTGAGGCACTATGGCAAGGTTGAAAGAACCCAAATATTGTCATCAGACAGAGCTGAGTTGACATCCCAGCTCTCACACTAAGGGTAATATATTAGGAGATTACCTTCAGTTTTCCGAGCCTCTGCTTCCCTCTGCATTTGTGGGATAATGAAACCCATCTTGGAAGAATGTTATGAGGATTAAATGTCATGTATTTAAAACAGTGCCAGACCGTTAGATGGCATTCAGTAAATGGTAACAATCATATTATTAGAATTTAACCACAGATAAACCTAAGGTTTTCTTCTTTAATTTTCTTCCATTAATCTTACCAATTGGAAGCATTCATTCTCTCATTTCCTTTCTTGGCTTTCCTTTAGTTATTAATAAAAAAATTAGTTAGAAATCTCTATGCTGGTGTCCCCCACCTCCATTTGACACTTGACTTCACAGACCTGAGGACATTACAGGTGAAACTGTATTCTCAAATTGCTTCCCTTGGAGAGAAATATTACAAAAATAACAGGGATTTTCATTTGGACCTGGCCAGTTGGTAAACTTCATCATAGTGATCTTAAGATTTGATCACAGGTAACTAGAGATGAAAAAACAACCCTTTGAACCTATGGAGCCACTTTTATTTCCAAGACAAACTTTTTGTGTGTGTGGTGGTAAAATAGAATAGCTGTGTCATCTTAGTCTCATCTGTTCATTTTGTTCAAGGGATTAGTTGTACTGACAGAATGATACTGGAAAGTTCATATGTTCTATTCCTTATATCCCAACAGATTTGCTTTACTTAGCTTTTAATCAGTACTTTTTCATCATGATATAAAAAAGTTGACCTTTAAAACATACTACAAGTCACAACTATTAAAACAAACAGTCTCCATCTAAACAAAAGTATGCAACACTAAGATTTAATAAATACAACAAACATGAATCTTAACTTAAATTCACCAGTTAATAACTTCCAATAATATTTTTGAGTACCTGCCATCTAATAGTAGTGTGCTAGGACTTTAGTATAAATATAAACTATTTAATCTTTAACCACAAAAAGCGCTGAGCCTAATTTCAGTCTAATGTCAATTTTTTTGTAGATGGAAATTGCCAACTTTTCACTACTGCTTATATGGGCGATCTCACTGAAATTAATAACTATTTATACTTATGATTTTGCTGATGTGCTATTTTATTTTAAAAAAAACAACATAACCTTCCTTCCTGAGCCTAAGATTCAGAGAATAAAAGACACATATTTCAATCTGAGTGTTGTTAGTAATTTTTACAGCATGTCTGGGCTATTGGGAAGAAATTAAGCTGCAGATTTTTAAATATTCCTTACTTGGTTGTTTACAAATTAATTTCATTGTTTGTTTCAAGATTTTGATTTCAAATTATATTTGTAGACCTTTAAGTACAAATAAAAGCCAAATAAGAATTAATAATATTTATTTTAAAAGATTTGTATCAATTTTAACATTTAGTGCCTGCAGATATTTTAAAATTCTCCAAATAAATATTCAAGTTTGAATAATTTTATAAAAAGTGTGTCAGGATAGGAAAAGCTTTATTGATCTGCTTAAAAGGAATAAATCTAATAGCATTTTTAGCTAAGAGGGGGACACTATATTGATGATTTATATTGGCGATTGGTGATTAGGAATGATGTTAGTATGGTTTATAGAATAGTAATTTTTACATTACATTTTTATTGTTCTAATAGCTTACTTTAGATGAGTAGAAATAAAACATTAATTTTGACAGTGCTTCATAAAAGATAATTTTGTAAGTCAAAATTGTATTTGTGAATTCAGATATAGATGGTGTAAGACTGAGTTTTTTAATGTATTAGTAATTTTAGGATGATTATGCTGGTATACTCATATACTCATATGCTGATTGCAAAGTTTTAAAGTCAGGTTTAAGCCTATATTTAGTACAAATTCAATGTATACCTTAAAATATTACCAAAAGCTATTACTAATTTTTGATGGTATTAATTATCTCATCTTTATTCAAGCAAATATGTTAGCGCTAATAGAAATTACACAAGTAAATAACTAATATTGCAATGAGTGAATTAATAGACCCCTCAGGGTTTTATTAATTAAAAAGTTCGAGTCATATTAAAACACCTTTTGTATATGTTTATTTCAATCAGAAAGCTGAATATGGTAACTTATTTGCATAAATAATCAATCACCATTTACTAGTAGTAATAAGGTTAATTTGTTGCTACAGACATAATAGGATTAGTCAATTATATTTCCCAGAAAATACTATTTGTTATGCACCCCATCACCTGTAAAACAGGATTGGGTTTAGCTCCCTTATTAAATGAACACATCAAAAAATCTTTGTCCCTGTAAAAGTTTTATGAAAGGAAGGCTAATTTTGGGTGATTTGGATAAAGTAAAATGCAAATATTGCTTCCATTTGTAAATTTAATTTATCTTTCTCTAAAGATTGATTACTTAATAAAGTTATTTATTTTGATTCAGTAACTAGTCAAACTAAATCTAACACATATAAGACATATTTCCTTTGAAGAAAATCTCATTTGCAGATTTGTTTTATTCCAAATAAACTGACTTTCATTCCCCTGCCCTTGTTCTTAGGTAATAAATTATGTTGTCTGCTCCACCTACTGGTGGATATATGCAAAGGCCTATTGTTGGATTTAGTAAAAGATGCCTCTAAAGTATTGCCAGAATTTTTGAGAGTCTTCCT